CGCGCACTCGACGCTCGTGACGTCCCCGCTTTGACTCCGAGGCACCATCTTTGACACCATTGTAACTTCTCGACAAAACCTCGGCTTTGTCGGCCGCGAAATTCTCTCGGCTCGGTTTACTAGGCGAGTGAATTGCATTTTTCTCGTCATAGCATATTCCCTGCCCCGAAGCCCACCATGCCGGGATAGTCGGGACCAGACGCCTTTGTGACTGGGGATTGGGAAATAGACAGTTTATAACTGAAATAAAGAACATTATAACAATAAATTTGTACACAGGGAATAAAGGAGGTAAAAGAGAAATACCATGCGGAAGAAGAGCTAAAGTGTAGGCGGAGAGTAGGGACCAAACTTTTGGTCGGTAAACATAGTCCACTATGCTCTCGACCAATAACACGTGAATCATAAAAACTATGTGAATCTAGTTAGTACCACTCCGTTACTCCTGATGTAAAAGAGAAAATGTAATATGTCCCATATAACGTCTAGACTTCAGTTTATATTATGGAAAGTCTGGAAAAATTTCTGGGGAAGGATGTAAAATTCTGGAGCTAGCGGTGAATCTCAAAAATTGGCCAATGTAACCATGTAGTGACAATGGGGCCCCGGCGGCGTCACCCAAGAATATGTCATAACTAACAGGAAGGAGGCAATAGCAAGGTGGTAAACCTGCGTTTGAACGCGTAGAGGGTGTATGATTGTGCTCTACAACAAAATATATCTGATTTTAGAACCTCACCAGTTCAAACCCCAACCCCCCCCGCTCATCGCGTACGTTCCGTGTTGTCCTGTAGCAAGCACCTTGGATGTCGGGGAAACGATCTTCAATACTCCGAAAAAAATCCCACCAGACTCCTTTGCCCCTCCAACAGCGGGATGTCCTTGTCCTTTTTCCTTTTCGTCATTTCAAGTGATAAAAACTCTCGATCTTCTCTCGAATTATTAATATTTTTGGACGCCCTCGGCTCGCGTTCAGGGCGTCCCGAGCTGAAGGGCGTCAAATGACGGCAAGACGGCCCCCTGGCGGAAACGCTGGGGGTTATCAGATGGAGCTGGAAGCACAAAATCCCAGAAGAAAGGATGTATAGGGTGGAGTTGATTATGACTGAAAGACACTAATGATGAACACTTTGATAGCGTGCTTTGTATATCAGCTGGTAGATTAACCTGCAGACATCTCTCATTTGTCTGAACCATTTATCTCAGATCGTAACAGATGCAGGCAATGTTTAGTCAGCAGTAGAGTATCAATAGTTGAGTTCCCTTGTTTATATCATAGTTTAACAGTTAGCTTGGGGTTTTGGGCAGATTAACGAGTAATGAAAATAATATTTCTTCTTAATAGTACTTAGTTGCAGCCCTAGCAAAAAGGAATAATTTTGCTCTGTACTTGTAATATCTTTAAATCCCTATAAAAGAACATAACATTTCTGTTTGTGATCGGACAAGAGCCTGTGTTACAATGTTTTTCCTATGTCCACATAACCTCAGGGAAATGTTACTATTATTCTCATCCTTCTCTGTGAATACTACGGACATGAGCTTTTCTCTAGTTGTGAAAGACACATTAATACGAATAAATTAAAACCTTTCACATCTTCCCAGGTACAAGCTAACGGCATTAGTAAAGTAAAAACCCAACATAAGAGCCACATGTATTTTATAGGTATGTTTTCCTCCTTTCAAGCATTTAGCTTTTTTATGCATGTCAGATTTGTGCATTAATATTTCAGTGAATGGTCCCTCTGTGCTTAGGAATCTTCTGGAAGCTGTGATGCTGCTCTTACATCATTCTTACTTACTCTAATGTATACCACTGCCGTGCTAACCTGCAGTCCTCTGTAAAGCCAAGAGGGTGGATTGAAAACAACAGAAGACGATTCAGTAATTTAACAATTTGAGATTGATGCATGACAAAACGGTAACACGTTTTATATAATAGATCTAGCTATACACCTTAGATTAATAAAATAACTTTAACTCTTTATCTGCTGTGATAGTCTGCAAAGTATTTCCTACTTGACTGATACAAGTTGTTTAAGAATTTAGAAAACAGTCTTGCTCAACTCAATTTGCTAGCTGTTCCAAAGCTTTTTAATCATGTCACATGACCTTTTATAAAGAGTTATCATAGAATGGTAGATTGTAAAACGCTAACAATTTTTTTTTTACTTCTCCTCTTATGATTTCTCCTTATCCTGTATTTTCGTAGAGTGTTTTAATGGACTTCCAAAAAGCAGTTGAGAGAATAATTTGAACACTGAATCTGGAAGATATATTGATGCTTTTGATCATATCATAATTCACATTTTTAGCAATCTTATATTCTCTTCTCAACTTGACTCCTTTTTTAAGGTTAAGAGTATCCACCTTTGCTCCCTCCCTCTTTGTCAGAACTCTCTCCTCCACATTCTCACTGTCCTGAATCAACCCAAATCCTCGTTCTCCTCTCCAAAAAGCTCTGTCGTAGTCTGATGTCATGCTTTTGTCCTTTACGTCATTATTATGTCCTTTATCTTATTTATAGTGTCCCTTATTTTATCATAATCTATTGCTATCAATGTGTGGTTTCACCACTACAGTATTGTAGCTGCTCGTTAGCACTTTGTAGCGCCCGGCCCCTCGCCCCGTGTCTTTGTATCTCTTGTTATTTTGAAAAAGATTTGTTTCCCCTTTGATCAAGTTTAAAGCTAATGAAGTTGTCAAAGCAAGTATTAGAGGTCAAAGCTTCTGTGATAAATGATGATGGCACAGAGTTACAGTATGGTCAAAGGTCAGAACGAATTTGCAAACAGTCGTAAAAACCCGTCCTTGTTACACTGAACGCCTAATTAGTGAACTATCATTTAACATTTAACAATCATGCATTTATTTAAGTAATTTTAGAAAAATAGCATTTAGGAAATTACCTTGGATTTTCGATTTCTGTCTTTCTGTCAGAATAGTCAGTCATCATCTTTGGCTGGTTTTTACAACATTTGGTGGTCCATTCATTTAGTTCATAGAGAGCAGAGGCGGGATGTGGGCCATTGAGACTGTCTGGCTTTGTATGTTGTCGCAGCCTGCCAGGTGTGTGGCCTGGCCGGCCCGATAAAGAGCCCCGCTCTATCACGGCAAAACTAGAGCAGCAAATTCCCTAATTAGAATGTCAAGAGCCTTGCCTTGGTAAATTCTTAGACCTGCACTACGTTCTGTATCACTGCCACCACACTCTGAACTAGGACACTATTCAGCTGTGTGCTGCACCGAGCCGATGATGGAGAGTCAGCATGGAAGTTGTTTTCCTTGTTGGCATTACATTGATTAGTGTGAGAAAGTGATGGAGCTAGAATTTCTATTCATTTCAACCTCATTTTATATACAAATAAGAAAATGCTGTTTCAAGGTAAATCTGTCCAGGGAAAGGCATGCAACATGTCTAATAAATGATTAGAGGGCTTCAGTCTGAA